CACAAACTAAATGTAGCACCTTCCATTACTGAATTAACCAACACAAACTAAATGTAGCACCTTCCATTACTGAATTAACCAACACAAACTAAATGTAGCACCTTCCATTACTGAATTAACCAACACAAACTAAATGTACACCTTTGCATCCATAAACCTATCTAACAAAGGTTTAGATTAATTCAAACTAACAGCACACACTTTACAATCATACAAATCATTCCAAGAGCCAGTAGCTCTTACCAGAGAAGTAATTCCATTGAAGATAAAGTCTGGAACAGAAAACTCTGTTTGTGCCCAACAAATATACGTATCTTATACGTTTCTACATACAACACTTATAAAATTAATTGCAGTGAAACAGGATTATACAATATTTATTTGCACTTGAAAAAGAGTGCATAAGCAATTAGTGAAAATATCTCTTGTTCATAACCAAGAAGCAAAAACCCTACCTCCAGTGTTGCTCTACTACTGCTCCGAGCCCCGAGACTACGACTTCGAATACTCCTACACATGAAAATACACACTTAAAACTTTATATATATATAACAAATTTGATCTTTAAATGGATGTAAAACTTACTCAGTTTGTTATAAAAATTATTAATAAATAAAACAGCTACCACTGCCAATTTTATTTTCAGGTTGACATTTTTCTGTACTCTATGTTGAAAGTTTTAATTGTACCACAATAATTGAAATAATATTTTTTGTTATAACCCACAGTTTTCTAAATATACAAAATTGAACACAGTTAAAAACTGATACCAATAATACATAGTTATTAACCATTTTAATAATTTTCTTACAATTCAGAGTTCCCTAAGAAACAGTGTTAAGTACAGAAATGTGTTGTTCTTCATTATTTGTAAGCATATATGTAGATCTTTTTTTTACCCGCTGCCTGTTTAGACAAGCTACAACAGGTAAAACCAGCAAGACTCAAGTTCTCATGTGATCATCTGAATTATAGAGGTACATTTTACCTGAGCAAATAATTAAAAAAGTGTTATAACATTTCTTTTATTAAATGCAGAGCATAAAATAATTTATCATTGTTCACGAGAAGATTAAATGTTAAAGACAAACTGATCTGTCACCACGTGAGGAAGATTTACCGAAACATACAAGTTTTCTTCTTACGCCGTACACGTATTCACCAAGGGTCTCATGCACTTAAATTCACATCCAGTATTTTCAAGTTTAATCCAAAATCTATTATACGAACTGATTAAAATATTTAACATTTTGAGCAATATAGAGCTGTATAACAAGCAGATATAATGGCTGATTTGGGACTTACGTTTGATCAATAGTCACTCCATATCTCTGTGCCAGAAGTTGACTACGAATTCTCAAGTATTGTTTACGAATGAAAGGATTATGCTAGTAAAAATATTGTACGTTAGTACGTGATTAAACATTTCTTTCACTATTAGTAAATATTTTTTAATACAAGTTTCTTTTATTGTAATATATTAAATACAGAAATATCTATTGTAGAATATCTGTATATTCAAACATTTTCACCGACAGTGTTGCATGTTTTCAACGTTCTAAAACTCCAGTATCTCTAACAAAAACTATTATAAGACTCGTTAACAACTACGCTAGATTACAAAATAAAAAAACTGTGAGAGTTTCAAGATAATATTTAATTCATAAAGAAATATGTAGTAATTTCAGTAATCAAAAATACTTAAAAAAAAAATTACACGTGGAGAGGTATTCCAAAGAAAGATACATATTAGCATGAGAATTTTCTAACAAGATCATATTCTAACGTATTACTCTGAAATGAATCACTTATTTTCGTAAAGATTCATCTGCAGTTCAGGTTATATAGAGATTCATACCCGATCCATTTACATTATGAAGTTGTTGTTTTTCCCACATAAAAAGAGTTATTAATTTGAGACACTAATTTTATGTAAAATAAACTTAGGAATAAGATTCTTGTATATAAAAATAGGTAGTCAGTGAGGAGGTCTTAGGTTAGGTTATATTGGTGTACTCTACATTTTCCTGATAATACCAGAAAGTAGAACTATAACGTTACCTCTTCTTTAGCATTTTCTCTGAGTAGCTGACTGCGTCGCCTGATGTACTGAGTTCCTACGAAAGACAACTTATAATAAAGTTCTGTTTATCATTGATTAATTTGACAAAATATGGATTTTATAAATAAACTCAAAATTACCCAAAGTTTTTATTTTTTTGGCAGGCTAATACCTTTAAGCACCTACCATATTGACCCTAATTAAATCCCCCTCTCTAATTATTGCCCCATCGGTATTTTTATAAAGCTTACCTTGAGTGACAGCAATAGTAATCCAACATATAATCCACTTTTATTACCATAATATAGATTTGAAAAAAAAAGAACACACACACACGTATTAGCATTGAAATCAACAAATCAAATGTGAAAAATAGACTCCAGAACTGCACAAATACTATAATTAGTGCCCCCCCCCTGCAGCTTGCAATGCTCCTGGGGGCATTAATTATGGTTAATACGGTATTCCTTCCGAGTTATAAAGAAATCAAATACAAAAATAATACACATAAAAATTAAACAAATTTCATATCGAGATCAAGTTTTCTAAGCTATTTTATTCAAATCATACCACAAACTTATAAATGAATAAATATATATTAATATGAAATACAATGTACAAAATGAAGGAAGAAGTGAAACTATGAATTAAGCAAACTTTGATATTATACTGACCAAATAATGGAGGGAAAGGCAAGGGACTACGAGGTACAAATTATGTTCAATCTTAAAATTTATTTAAACATATATTATGTTCACCTTATTCTACAAGTACTAATAACTCGAAAAATGACCAAAAAATTGCTGTTAATCTGCTCCCAACACATACCTAAAAATGTTATATTTCACATTACACTAAGTGTTGACATTCTACTTTCAGTCACTGTCCCATTGAATGATGCTGAGAAATGCTCACGGTCACTGATGCTGGGTGTACCAGCTGACGTAGATGAGGTCTTACACGTAAAAACATCTATTTGAGAACGTACTGTATGACGTGTGTGTGTCAGTAATAAAAGGCTTGTCTCTGCTGTACAAAGACTTAGTCCTGCCACGTTTCAAGTTGTACTCTCTGAAAAGGGCTTGTCTCTGCTGTACAAAGACTTAGTCCTGCCACGTTTCAAGTTGTACTCTCTGGATTCAGATGACAGACAGTGTCTCACTTGAGTTATGGGACGTTGTACACACGTCGTGTAATAACGTAGTCCCTGGAACCCAAGTGAGATAAGGCTCACGAGACCAGCTTCCTGAAGATATTCAATCTTATACTGACACACACACACGTGTCATACAGTACGTTCTCAAATAGATGTTTTTACGTGTAAGACCTCATCTACGTCAGCTGGTACACCCAGCATCAGTGACCGTGAGCATTTCTCAGATACCTGTGGGAAGCCACGTCACACACTTCAGTCTTTTTCAACATCAACCTATGTCTCTCTAAACCTTCGAATCATACAATCTATATATTGTAGTGTTTCAACAGTTAGACCGTTCATTGTGGAATAGCAGAATCAACTTTTTGTTTGTGCGGGATAGACGAACTGCTTACATATACCTGTCCTTTGAATATATCAACAGTCATATGCTTTTGGGGCTATCACAAAATGTATTAGTCTTTCTAATTGTGGTAGTGGAGCTGAAACAATGAAGAAAGTTAACTCAATATTGGACGAGTATTTTAGAGATGTGCGTTGGACGTAAGATAAAAGAATGTCTATATGTTGACCAAAGAGATGTAGTAAAAGAAAATGGAATAGCCTAGATGAGTTGTCTTGTTATCCTTTGGACTTTAAATGAAATAAATAAACAGTCCTTTGCATACATATATAAGATTTTATCATATAATAAATCTTTCAATGTTTAAGGATCTATTATACTTTTCCCAATTGCCCAAATAGATTATTAAATTAATGAATTTGTCTCAATTGGAAGAGAAATGTCTGATGACTTTGTTCATGCATCATTTCAAGGTCTAAACACCAGTGAATTTGAGGTAGTAGCTGCTGAACACTTATAAACTACAGACACACAGTGTAACTACTGTTACATAACAAATTACGATACAATTCTTAACAAGATGCCTAAACATTCACAACAGATGTCACAAACATCCTCCCAAGGCACATCCATAAATGCTGGAAGCCATTGAATGGGTATAATTTTCAGGAATTTTTTGTACTACATGAAATAGCTTTCATACAAGTAAAATCTTATAACATGGAATATCCAATTCGTTACCTCTACCAAGCAATATGCCAAGTAAATTAGAGAGGTTTAAAAATAAATAGTTCATTAAGCCAGTCCTGTAAAACTAACAACAGGAGCTTGCGGCATTATATTTCAACTCTTGTCTTTATCACAGCTGCAGAAAACATCTCCCATTTTTTCACTGTTAAATAAGCTAGAAACGCTGTAGTTTCAGAGGTGCTGGGGGGTCAAGGGCCCCATCTGGCTCAAACCGCCATGGAATACTATAAGATACATTGTCTTATTTACCATTTGCTCCTCAAGTGAGCCTCTGTGATCACCAAACTGTTGTTAAAGTCAACAGGTAGCACTCAACAAACTATTGTTAAATTCTTGGACGAGTCACCAGACTCACCAAGAATAAAAGCTTTAAGATTCACTATAAACAATGTGTATAACATGGACAGCTCAAAGGAATTGTTTAGTGCAGACTGACAGAAGACTACATTAAAATTTTAGTGGACTCAGAGACATCAGGTCATTTGAAAAATTTTAAGTATAAGTTTTACTGGATATAATTTATAATTTGATGCATAGATGACATTATTAGCATTTAATGTTAAAGCACTTCACATTGTAAAATATGGTAAATAAAGTACATCAAAACTGCATACATATGTGTGTGTGTGTATTAAAACTTAATAGAAAAAATAAGGCAAAAGTCAGTACACTGTAAAGATATCAAAAATGTTCATTACGTTTTATAATATTGGAAATCAGTTAACTGCTAAAGAGAAAAGATGAGTTTTGGATGAGAATTTACATAACGCACCTAGCTAATGAATACAGTCTGTGCGTTATTGTTATTTAACTATATGTCCTAATTGGTTTAGATGCTGGTTGTGCTAGAGACAACGTAGCTACTATGCTTGTCTCCATCAATGTACGTTCAACTTCCGAATCAGGTGAGTTAACTTAATTAATGAGCCAAGAATTAGAGAGCCCAGTGATAAATTTCACAGAAATGGGCTGCAGAAAAGTTTAAAAACCGTATTATTCAATGAACTATTTTGTTTTAATCACGTCATCGGTGGATGTACTTCCGGCTCACCGATAAACTTGCAAGTTGCAGTGGTGAATAAAACAACGACGCACCAAAATAGTATTAGTAGCCCCCGTTTACATTTACCAGATGATAATATATAGATAATTAAAAATACAGATATAAATTTTAATTTGCATCTACCGTGAAACTGACATTATTGCAAAAAACAACTTAAATTAAACATACTGATTATGACTTCAAGTTCAATGTGTCGTACATGAATCATTTAATATTATCAATGACTCACAAGATTTCGTAAATCTAAAAGTAGGCGTAATTATAATTTATACGTTAGCCTACTATAGAAATAAACTTACTAAAGTTTGGATTATTTGGAGCTCTGTAATTATTGTATCTTGCATCTAAAGCAAGCACTTGCTGCCAAACTGCTGTCATTATGTTCTTTCCTTTCAGGAAAAGGTTTGAAATGATATAAATGTACCATAAATATACCAAGCCCAGGCCTATTTCACACAAACTTATTCCAAGTCCACTAAACACGCATGTGTTAGATAATTCTATATCGTAGGTGGCGCTAACAAAGTTATAGCATGACTAAAATCTATACGGTTGGTCCACGCCCCAATTTCCGTCACGGTTTTCGTGTTTCTCTTTAATTCCGGTCTAAGCGATAAGTATTAAAGTTGTAGTGTTCTTCGAATTAACTTTAGCCGTAGTACTTCTAGTTAGCCGAATTGAAATACAGATGTTCGACAACTGCAGTATAGTTCTGCTTGAGAAAGGTTGTGCTTAATCATGTTAATGCTGAGTTCGTAATTTTTAGTGCAAAGAATTGGTGTTTTCTTGATTTTTTAAAAATAGAATTTTTGTAACGGGTAGTTGTAGTAATACTACTAATAGTAATACTAGTAGTAGTAGTACGAAGTACTATTGACTTCTTGCGTGCTATTGTTTAGCTGCGATACTACGAATGTGTAATTTACATTATACTGTAAATTGAGTAAATTCAGAATTTCATGTCAATAAGGTATCTTTGACTTTACACAAATTAAATATAGTCTTGTTGTGAACAACGATATAAGTTATAACTTGACATTTTACAACCATCAACATGCAAGCAATTAAATGTGTCGTAGTTGGAGATGGGTAAGTCACGATTTAAATCACTTTTTTTATATACCGCAAACGTTAAATTTTCGAGTGTATGTATGCAAATTACATATAAAAATGTAAATTTTTACCTTGGTTTTATACTCATTTTATTATGACTTCAAAAGGTAAATGGATAATTTGAGAGCTGTCAACACAGTTTGTTCACATTTGGTGTGGTTTTTTTATTTGTTGTATTGAAAACTTCTAACTTATGTTCCATTTTTATTGTTATATATAATACTTCCTGGATCTCGCAGTTAAACTTTACTTGTCTCTTACTTTAAACAAAAGCAATGTAATAATATTGTTGCATTTGTTAATGTGTGATTATTTATTAATTAAAAGGTTATATACATTTGTGTATATAACTTGGTTCAAGGTTTAGAGGTACTTGTTTTTAAACGTTTGTGTGAATATGCTAGACTTCTTCAGTTGAGAATTTCCAGGAACTTGCGTCGCCCTCTAGAAACATGCCCAGAATGTTTTTATAGCAGTAGAACGAACAATGTGAGAAAAATAACTACTTGTCTAATATTAGGTCAGAGTAAAACAGTAAACCTTGTTCTTCAGACAAATCTTATTGTACCAGGCATTAAGTGATATACATTCCACACTCCTTATAAAAGGCAAATGAGGTCATAAGTTTACTAAGAGGTGCTGTTTAGACGTCACTTGGAATATTGTGTACAGTTTTTAAAGAAAGGACATTGAATAGTTGTATATTAAAGATGATTCCACGTTTGGAAGGATTATCATATAGGGATACAATGAATTTCCTTGAAATGTTTTCACTAGAGAGGAGAAGGGTTTTTTGGGGTGGCGACGCAGTTGGTTTAACATAGAAGTTTTGAATACATAAATCCAGATGATGTTTTCTTAAAACCTCTGCAAGCAGTGAGACTAGAAAATATAAATTTAAATTATTATGTATTTTAAACATTTAATGTTCTTACTTATTTTTTGAAATCTATGCACAAGAATGGTAATAGAATATATTTATGAGTACCATTGCTTTTCTGTACAAAAGATACCTTTGTATTTTTTCTATAGATCTTTACCATTATGGTCTTAACTTGAGGATATGAACCCGAGATAGTAAGTTTATGTAATGCGAAGTTGAACGCTGAAAAAATATATTTATACAAATTTTACGTGTTTCCTTTTGCATGAGCGAATTTTTTATGATGTGTTTATAGTGTATGTGGACACATGAAGTATATGATTCATACATTGCTCTGACATTTTTTTCAATAATACGCCCATGACCTTAAACAGCCTGAAACATCATGTTTGCAACTGTACTGGACGTGTCTTTCGAAAGAAGTACCAGTAATAAGTAAACAGAATATACAAAGTTGTTTCATAACATTACATCATTCCCCTCCAGTCTTAACATACTCATAAATTATATAAATATGTGCATTCTCTAGTGTTTTTATCTGTGTTTAGACATAAAAATTATGTCTTCTAAATTGAAATACTTTAAACTGATATCTTCTAGTTTATTTCTCAGAATTATGAACACACACACACACGTGTTTATTTATTAATACATATTTACAATTTGTTTGGTACAAAATATATGCAAGCATAATTGTTTTCAATTTGGTTTCATTTACTGTTAAAAGGTCTTGATATCAGAGAAATGATGGATACAGAAAAATTGTTTTATTTAAATTACTCGATGAATTAAACCCTCCCAGAACAAAGCATAGTGGGTAAAACAATAAATGGCATATTTCATTTTCAAAACAGGTTCACAAGTTTGGTCTGCAATCACACGGCATAAATTTTATTTCAAAAGTAAATAATCCTATCAAATAAGCTAACGATATTATAATATATAAATGATTATTGTTCGCCAATAACCATGATACTAGCTATCGTTATTATTTAAAGTATTTTAGTACTGACACCCGCAATAAGGAATATTTTATAGAAATATTAAATTACTCTAAAATATTATCACTTATTTTATAATCTATATTTATGTTATATTAACTGGGTTCATGATTCAAACATTTTTTTTTTTTTGCAGAGCTGTGGGTAAAACCTGTCTATTGATAAGTTACACAACAAATGCATTTCCAGGTGAATACATCCCAACAGTGTAAGTACCTGTAGCATTTATACATATATATAGCATTTCTGTCTTTCTTTCCACATTACCTGGTGACACTAATGTAAGAATCCAACTGATTTCCTGGACTAATTCTTCACAATTGTTTTGGTTTGAATACTTGTTCTAATCAATTATAATTGTCATAAGCCATAACAATTAGCCCTATTATATTTTTAACACACTCATGTGTTTACATAGCTTAGCTAGTGAACAGTAAATATTTAAATAAATACACAGATAATATGTAGGTGTAATATTAGTGTATTCTTTGTGGGCCAAAGGTTATGTGTAAAATACTGTTTGCCAGAGTCATAAGTTTAATGTATGTAGCTGAACGTACTCCATTAATATTGTTTGACATGTTTGCTAGAAATTGTGGAAGTTTATGTGAAACATTCCCATTATTTCTTAGTCTCTTATAATCAAAATAATGCATAAAAATGGAGACTTTTGTTACAGGTTTGATAATTACTCTGCCAATGTTATGGTGGACAGCAAACCAATCAATCTCGGTTTATGGGACACGGCAGGACAAGAAGACTACGACAGACTAAGGCCACTATCTTACCCTCAGACAGTAAGCACGTTTTAGTTTTAAATAAGTACTTTAGTAATGACAATTCCTGTATCTCATCCAACCTTTCAAAAACTTTTTTTTGTGTAAAAATGTACATGGTATGTCAAGTCAAAGTGTGTAAAAATGTACATGGTATGTCAAGTCAAAGTGTGTAAAAATGTACATGGTATGTCAAGTCAAAGTGTGTAAAAATGTACATGGTATGTCAAGTCAAAGTGTGTAAAAATGTACATGGTATGT